CCCCCCCCTAGTGTCCTCCGGGTGTACTCCGCGTTACTCAGTACTCTTGCCTATAAATTCTGAGTCGTCGCCATCTCTGTCTCTCGCTTCCTCATTAAGTTGTATCTTTATTCCTCTTGTGTTCTCTCCCCCGTTTTGCGACAACGATGGAAAGTCTGCGGAGCCTCCGCCCGCGCGCGAAAGCTGGCGTCGCACTGGGCCTGGGGGTGTTTTAGTGCGTGGCGTGGTGGGGCGGGGCGGGGAGGGATGGGGCCAAAAGGGGTCGCCCCGGAGATGTTTCATTTCCCTAGGAATTAGCAAGCGAATGGTAAGCGGGCCGACCACGCCACGTTCCGTGTTCCCGCCTTCTCTCTCTCCCCCCCCCCCTCTCTCCTCTCTCTCCCCTCTCAATACTCCATCCCCTTTCCGCGGACTCCGTGAAGTCTCTTCCTGGGACTTGCCCCACCGTATCCTGCCGCTTTGTGGGGAGGGCGCTATGGCAGGGAGAGGAGAACAGAAAGCCCCCCCCCCCCCTTTACCACTCCAGCTGGCGACCAGGACACAGGTAGCCTACCGTGGCAGCGGTCCGCTTCTCCCCTCCGTGTCGTCTCCCGCAGGACAACAGCGGCGGGACGGTCTCCTTTGGTGTGCGCCATGAGCTCCTTGTCCCCTTTGGCCTGATCCGTGCTGGCGGGGCGGTGGGACTGCCATGGACACCCAGCTCCTGCCTGCCAGCTCGCCTGGCCGGCTGCCGGCCGCTGGCTGGCGGTGACAGCCAGGTGCCGTGATCATGAATTACTTCACAACCCCCTCCCTCCCGCGCGCCCCCGCGCTCTGCTGCAGGCAGGGCCCTTCGACTGCTGACGCCCTTGCCGTCGCCTTTCTCTTCTGCCCCAGCTCTCGCCCCCCTGCCCCCTACCATTTGTCGCGTGCGGGCTCAAAACGCCATACGCACGCCATTGCTTGGCGGGCGGGCGTATGTGCACTGAGCGGGGCGGGCGCATTGCGCAGGGGGCGTACGGAGGAGGGGGAAAGCGGCGGCAGGCGACGACACTCTGATCGGAACCAAACGTAATTGCATTGCAAGACAGACGACTATAAAAGAATGTTACGTTAAAAACAGTCGCTTGAAGAAATCCTATAATCAGCAATCACAGCTGGCGTCGGAACGGCCGCCCGGATCGTCGCGTTCTGCATGATAAACACTCAGGACAATACGTCCCTCGGACAAACACCATCCAATTATCGTGGGTCGCTCGTGCTATGATGGGATCTCAGCTCCCAATAGCCTGTTTGTTAATTAAGTAATTTTACTTGAGCATTTAAGTAAATTACATGGAAATTCAAGTAAATTACATGAGCGTTCTAAATCACAGGACTATTTGTGCATTGTATCGCACTAGCTGTGTGAGCTGTGTGTATACCAAAAAGTTATCTAGATTATTGCAAATAATTTTTTTAAAGTCTTGCATTGTGCTACACAATGTTACTGCAGCATTTTACCCGATGCCGCTTTTCAAATGTTACAGTCAATGGCAAAGAGAGCAAAAACGGCAATAACACGAAATTTGCAATCTTGCAATATTGCGACCACACTGAAAACGCAAGTGTGTGAATGTCGCACACTTGTCGGTGTGTGAATATCCATTCGTACTCTTAAGCGGGCAAACGTGAGAATTTTCCTGGAAAAATTCACACCTTTACCCCTCCAAGTGTACAAATGGATATTCACACTCCTACAAGTGAGCGACATTCACACACTTGCGTTTTTCAGTGCACTCGAATATTTTTGTTGTCACAGTCATTATTCCCTGCCTCTGCTGAGGGGTCACCCACCCGCCAACTCGTTGTACACGAGGGAAAATACTCGTAAAATACTCGCGACAACTCGCGAAAAATTCGCGAAGACTCGCGAAAAAATCGACAATGACTCGCCATTACTCGCATAAATTCGCGGATACTCGCTAACTCCCGAATACTCGCGAATACCCACGCAACTCGTTGTACACCCACTTGGAGAGTGTAGAACCCCTCGGCCTCTGCCCTGTTCTTGTCTTTCGTTTTCTCGCGGCATCGCTGCTGCTCCCGCCCGGGGTTCGTGATGTCCCTACCTCCCCTCCCCCCGACTGGACACGCTAATCCGCGGGGCTCGGCACTCCCCCCGCTGCTCTTCCATTAGCGTGAGCTCGGCCGGCAACTTGACGAACGTCGTCTGCTAATGTCGTCTCTGCAAATGACTCGCTCTCCTTACATTTAAGCATCCAAGGAGGAGCGACGGGGGCGAAGGAAAGTGTGACACAGAGCCAGAGACTGGGGGAGGCAGGGGTGGGGGGCGGCGGCGGTCCCGCAGCCACCGCAGCCGCCGTTCTTGCCCAGCCCGCCGGCCCCAGCAGAGCCCGGGGCGTCCCGGGGATCCTGGACTGGCGGCAACCACAACACATGCCCGTCCCGTCCGGTGTGGATTGCCTACCCTGCAGGCGCTCTCCTCCCTTCGGCTGGCCACCAGGCGGCCGGCCATGGAGTTTCCTTCAGTTCCGTTGCTTTTCGTCCTCGCCTGCTGCTCTCGTCTAGGGACGACAGCCAGAGCCTGCTCGTTGTCGGACACCTTTCTTTATGTAATAAGAGTGCGTCATTAGTTTTCTGGAATTGTAAAGAACCTGACGCTGCTATCTCACCCTCATTTTGTGGTCGTTTGCGCGCACGCGTGTGGTTGAAAGAAGCAGGGGTGGGAGGCGGGGGGGCATTACCACCCTCGTTAGGGTGGCAGTTAGGACCTTTTGGACGAGTCAAAACCGGGGTGTACGGAATTAAACTGGGCGACATGTGGTCAGCGGCTGGCTACTCGGTGGTTAGGGTGTGCGGGGCAGATGAGAACGAGATGACAATTGTCATAGTGTGTTTTGTGTGTGGGTGGGGGTGGGGGGGGGGGGCGCAGAAGAATAGGAAAGCGAGGACGGGGGGATAGTGCGCGTTTATATTCAGGCCTTCCGGGCCGATGCTGCCATTGACCTGGTGCTCTGCTTCCCTGGCGCGCCCATCCCTCCCTTGTAGTGGTGTTTGTAGGAGAATGCGTATGCCTGCCCCTCCCACCTCCCCCCGCTTTCCCACTTCCCGCAGTCGTTGCCAAGGCTTGGCGTCTCGGCGGCGTCAGGCGTCGCAGCGAACAAGCGAGAGCGAGTGGGATGGAAGAAGAAGCGGAAATGGAAGGGTTTGGGGCTGGGGAGGGGGGGGGGCGTAGAGAGGAGGTTAACCACACTAGGGCGGTTGACGAAGCTTTGCGCATTTGACGCAGCGCTGGCGTGACATAGGTGGGTTTTGCCTTTCCTCGCTCCTCACTCCCTTTCTCTATCTCTTTCTCTTTCTCTCTCACGCTCACGCTCACGATTTTCAACCTCGCTGCTCCAAGCTCTTCTCTTGCTGCTCTCTAATGTGTAACTTGTATTAAACATAAGGCATACGGTTATATCATATATTTTTTTTGAAAAGTTAAATGAAAACAAACTGGTGCGTCTCTATTTATCATTTTTAAGATGTTTCATTTTCTTATAATTTTACTGT